AAACTGACCGAACACGGACTATCTGCAAACCGATGTTAACCAGGATTCACCGCTGTCACCATGTTACTTGGGCAAGGCAGCATGATAACTTACAATTAGGACACTGGCAACATGCCATCTTTTCAGACGAGTCCTGTTTCCAGCTTGTTAAAGCTGATGGTAGGATTCGTATTCATAGCTTACGTATATACATATATTGTTGATTCTTACTCTCGAGAATCTTCTACAACGTTGGAGAATAGGCGGGAGTTTCGCAATACGTATTTAACACTACAAGCTATGCATGTTTTAAATATAAACGTAATCTAAACAACGTTGATATTAAAATAAATACATAAATTCGTTACACTTGTTATAAATCTTGGATAAACTCGCCTTTTTCTGACTTGTTTTCAGTATGTGTGATACTTGAAAAGTGTGTCTGTCATTTTACTTACATATATTGATAATAGCATATTAGGTTAAGGTGTAACACGTTAGTTTTAAGCTATAGGGGAGGGGATAATGTGATGATCAAAAGGTCTAATATTCAACATGTGTGTAGAATTTCTAAATGGAGAAACTTTCTTTGATCATGTTAGCTTGAATCACTTTGGGGAATGTCCCTTGTTTTTTTAAGGTAATTTATGCCATTTGACTAATAACATGCTAGAACAAGTATTTACCTCACATATTATTACACTGGGCTGTAGGTTAGTATTTTATAAACCAAAATGTTTTCGTGAATAGTATATTAGTATATCTTGACGTTAATAAATGCTTCAGTATATGTAATACTTGATAAGTTTGTGATTTTACTTTCATATATTAACGATAACATAAAGCGCTATGATGAAACATGCGAGGCATTTGATGAGAATTACAAAAGCTTATGTTAATTGATAATCTGTTTGCTGTAGTGTCAGATTTAATGAGTATCATTGAGAGTTTAATCAACGATCAGTTGATCACTCAGAATGAAGAATTTGATGCTTTTAATATAGAAGTTTTCCAAGATGATGTTATTTTGTATCTTATTCTCCGAGTCAGTTCTTTATCCTAATTTCCTTGAGTTGGTGGCTTGTGTGCTAACCCATGACAGCATAACCTGGATTTAAATAAATTCATTGTAACTTTAAAGTCGAACCCCAAATGAATAGCTTACTGGCCTCACGTTACACAATAATTTTGTATAAGACATAAGCAATTAAATATATAAATGAAAATTTTAAACATAAATTGAAACAAGATGAAATCTGTAAGAGTCTTACTTTACTATAATAACACTGTCCCCCTATTAAAACACCATCCACCTTTGTAAAAAAACAATATGACTAGTAAGACCATCCACCTCAAGAACTTTAGTAACACCATCTGCTTTTGGAAAACACAATACACCTAGTAAGACCATCCATCTATAGAAGCACAGTATCACCACCCACCTATAGTAACAGACCCCCTGGTATCAAACTACAATATCACTCCTTACTCTAAGACGACTGTGGAACTATGACTCCTAGCAACACGCTCTCTGGCAGCAGACTTCTGTCATCAAGTGTCGTGATGGCTTAGCAATGTGCCCACTGGTCTTAACCCCTCCCTCTGAGGCAACCAGTCAGCACACACGTCCAGGGTACCCCAAGAAATACTAGTGTATGTATGTTCATAGTAACTTATGTATAAAATAAGATGAAGATTACGATATATACACACACACATGTATATACAGCTGAAAGTAACATTAGTGTTTATTCATTGAGGGAAACATAATTTAACAAGTTTTCCTTTTCTTCAAACATTTATCTAAAGTCAAAGTGGCCCATGGTCAGAATTGCAACAAGTCCTCACTTGCATACATAATTAGAGACCAAGATCACATTTCAGCAGGCCAAAGACACAAAGTGCAACTGGAGCTAAATTAGGAGATTTTTCAGGTAAGTGTCTGAATAAGATTGTTATGATTACCAACTACCTTCTATCTTTCTCAAGAAAACAACTATTGGTTTTAAGTTGTGTCTAAAAGCTTGTGAGCCCTCATCAATTTACTATATGAACAATACCAGGAGGAGACAAGATCACCCCCAACTCATTGACTCTGTGTTAAGAGTTCTCTTTCATATTCAAAGTCTTTACTGTACTTCAAGATAGTTTACACCTGAGGGTGTAGTCTCTTCTTCCATGAAGAACGTAAAAAACACTCTCCCTCGAAAAACGTTATCCTTCATTTCTACACATTTTAACAATTACACTATACAAATACTTTTCCTTGGATAACATTTATCTTACCAATCACAAGTCTATCCTGCCACTACTGTACTACTGTTCACTGAACTATATATATTGGGGGGTCCTGGGTCAGGATAGGATAGGTATGGATTGAACACTGTTGAAGTATAACTGCACAGCAGGGCCACAAGAACAGGAATCTCAGACTATGTTTTCTACCAATATTTACTACAATGCTTTGGTTTGTTTTAAATTTCATGCAAAGCTACTCATAGGCTATCTGTGATATTCAGATGAGAGGAAACTCTTGGGCTACTCTTTTTTTCCAATGAATGGTGGGATTGTTACATTATAATTCCTCCAAAGATGAAAGGGCACACAAGTTCAGAGATGTGATTCAAACCTGTGACCCTCAATTAATTTTCTTTATTCTAATATGTGCATGAATGTAAGATTGTATAATGGGATAGATTTAAATGTTTTATATTTGTGTATGCTACTGATAAATGTAACTTATTCCTGTATAGTGTTTTTTTTTTTGCATATTTCAAATATATTTACATTATACTTTTCATTCTTCTCTGTCTCATTCATTGGACAAGTTTATGCAATTCAAAATGTATCATGATGATTCATCTGTCCCAAAAACACAGTACTCAGTAAAAAACCACGCCTCGTAGCCCTCTTCAGTAGAGCATATTCTTATCAAAATTTTCAACATACTAAAACTCAGGTGTGATTTCATCCTTAGTAGGTTTGAAATTAAAGATGTCTCCACTTATGCAGAGTCATTCAGAGCTCCAATAGGGCACCCATATCTTTGGTCATGAAATACTTATATGCAATATTTCCACTGTATTATTCACAGTTGGCGTGCATAATAGTCTTGTCAGATACATATTATACTGGAACAACAGATATGAATTCAGTATACTACAGAATAATCTGTACCTTTGTGGAACAGCCACCATTCTGGCACTATCTGTTAAAAAAAATCTTAAATTTCAATTTAGGCAAAGTCTAGCAAGAAAATATTTTTGTATAAAGACTATTTTACTGATTATCTTTCTTCACTTAAAAGTTGTTTTAAAATGTTTACACACCCTACATTCAACCTCAAAGTGACAGAGATCCATAAAAAGGTGATATAGTTTGTTTACTGCTTAATTATATATATTATTTGTATAAGACAGCTGTAAGTTTACCAAATTCAATAATGCTTGCTATACAACACATTTTAAACAAGCAAACTGAAAATGGATATTGTATTAACACTCTGAATCTTTTTCCACTATAAGTAAACATTCTTCTTCACGTTACTTCACCATATAGTAACCTAAATTAATTTAAGTATGTAAATAATGTTATGACACTTCAGCAAATTCTTTATTCGATATTATACAGTGAATCAACTGTTTACTGACTGTATATATACATGTATGTTAAAGATTTCTTTTCCTTTTCACCAAATTATCTTTTCAATTTTTAAGTTTTATATGTCACTACTATGTAGTCAGTAAGCCTATAAACATAGTTAAAATGAGTGGTACAAGAAACATTAAAAACACAAACAACTGATTATTAGAATGACAAAGTTGGATAAATAAAGAGAAATTAGGTGTAAGAGAATAAAAAGAACAAATGTACATATAGTGCTGAAGACAAACTAGAACTTCAGAAATGTGAAACTGACCACTGGTTCAAATTCACCCTCAAGTTGCATTTGCATTAAAAACAGATTTCTCAAAGATAGTACTACTTTTGTATATTCGAATCTGTAGAAAGACTGTTATTGTAATTTCTATAATTTAGTTCAAAATGTGTAAATATAGTTCCACCCTTATGGCTAATTTTTTTCCTTTTGTCTAAGATAACGAGTTTATTTGTGCCAAAGTTAGTAAAAATAATAAAAGTAAAAGCAAAACACAGTAAAAAGTATAAGAAGAAAACAAACCAAAAGCTGAACAATAAGTATAAATGAGGTTAAAAGTTAAATACAATTAAAAAGGCCAATGGCCTATAAAAAGCTAAAAACACTGTCAATGTGGATGATGTCACCATCACCAATGACACTGTCCAACGTCAGGAGAAAACCCTTAGAAAAAAACATATCTAAAATGGCACCACCACTCACAGTCATAATGAGGACATGAAAGTAAAATATGGGCAATTGTGACCCGAGTGTCACAAAGGCAACACATTGGTGAATCTGTTCCTTGTCAAAGAAAATGAGTAATGAAAGTGTGGCCAATGCAGAGCCTTGAAAAGACAACTTCCTCTCTCAAATTCTTATGGAAACTAGATGGCCAAACAACAATAGAAGGTTTGATCTAGAAAAGTTTGTTATTATGTTGTTCGACCCAATCCTTATGGAAACTAGATGGCCAAACAACAATAGTAGGTTTGATCTGGAAAAGCTTGTTATTATGTTGTTTGACCCAATCCTTACGGAAATTAGATGGCCAAACAATAGTAGGCTTGATCTGGAAAAGCTTGTTATTAAGTAGCTAATCCCAAATCGACTGTCAACTGGTGTGAAGCTGAGTCTTGATGAAAAGTTTGTAGTCCACATAAGGGACAGGTAGAGCTGTGACAATGCTAGAGCAGACAACTTCAGTTTGTTTTAGTGAAATCACACAGACCAGTATGGGGATCATAATGAATTGGTACATGGTTGAGAAACAGTGTTATATGACTATATGGTTCATTTCTCAGGTGTTGTCATCATATCAAAAAGGTAAGCCACTGCACTCTTCTGGCAATACATAATTAAACCAAATATACATGAAAAGAAATTTTTTTCAGTGAAAAGATTTTTTTTTTGTTTATTTACCTTCAAAAGTATACACTTTCCAGCTGAAAGTAAACATTTCTTTACAACACTTCTAACAATCAACTGCTAAGCCTTGATGCTAATACTACTGGTTTTACATCTACACTATCACAAGGTACTCGTGACTCGGGTTAACGGTCAATTTCACCAAATACAATGTCAAGGGTACCTGAAAAAAAAAAATTCAAGCCACTAATAACTTTATCAACACTGATATATATCATGAAAACTTTAGGATCAAGCAAATAAATTCAAATTTTAGGGGTGCTGACTGAAGTGCATTTTTTAATGTAAGGTGCTCTCTGTGTTTATGTATTGACATTTAGCATGATTCATCTATGATCAAACTTATCTAGAAGTTTGTTCTTAAAGGAGTTAAAAATAGCAATAATTTTTAGTTTAAGTTTTAACTGAATAGCTTGTAATACAAATGTTTTATACAACATACTAACATTTTTCAACTAAGGTCAGGCCATTACATGATCTTATTTTCTGAAAGAGAAAACTTACCATAAAAGAGTTTTTAAAATATTATGTTGTACACAGTAGTATGCTCAATGCCACTGAACAGATACAACTGTTCAAAATTAAACTATTTTGTATCACACAAAGTAATCACCTCATACAATGCAAACAATATTTGGATGTGTGCTAAAAATTTTTACCCAAATGAAAAACTGAAATAGCCAAAAACTAAGCACTCAGTTGTCAATTTCCTATCTTCTACAGTGGATGCTCTGGAATTCTATAGCCGAGTTAAATGATAACATGCTACAACAAAGATAAACATTCTAGCTTATGCATGTAACATTTTCTGCTATTATAACCTAACAGTTGTGCATTTGAAAACATTTTACACAAGGGTATGTAAACACACAGCAGTTATTTTTTTTTTTTACAAACAATTTTTTCCACAGTCAGTTAAGTCTATCAAAAAAGATCTTCAATCTTTATAAAAGATTTGATATTTCAACAATTTCCTTCCCACGATTTGATGAAATCAGATATTTTCCATGTCAAATTCTCAAAAACAATTTTAATGTATGAAAGTCATCACATGTGACACAAGAAAAAGATACAAAAAAAAGCATGATTATCATAATTTTCAGTTACAGTAAAAACAAAACAAAAAAGCCTTGGTTTCATTATTTAACTTTATACTTGGTTATTGTTACTATTGAAAGTGACAAACATATTTACTGGTTTAATATTTTCAACAGGGTAACTTTGTTATCATTTGAAAAGAAAGTGTGTTCAAAATTCCAGTAATTTGATCAAAAAAAGTAATTACTAAAATACCTGACAAGAAATATCAACTGAGAAATATTTCTTATACAAAAACCTAGTTGTTTACCACACAGCAAACTAGTTTCTTTACTAACAATGACTATAATAAGATCAATTTGTTATAAACAAGTTACAATAATAAACAATATCTTATCAGCAAGATATGAAACTGACTTTCTTACCAACAATTGCAACAATATCTGCTAGCATATGGTTTCTACCCATTTCGTCAATAGCAGACTGAAAAACAGAAAAAATCAAATTTTAAGTACATATTGTTCATGTCTGAATACAAAAACAGATTCTGATCATTGTACTGTGTAGTTAAAACTGATACATGAAATAAGGTTGAATATGTTATATTCAAAGCTTTTGAAGCCTTATCACATCATTACAGCCCATGTAAGCACATCAAGCTATGCTCTATCTGAAGCATAGTTTCCATTACAAAATCTGAAGCATAGTTTCCATTACAAAATCTGAAGCATAGCTTCCATTACAAAATCTATTGTATGGCTGTCACGTCTAAAACAAACCCCTCTTCCCTACATGTTTTATACAAGCCATCTAGTATTCAAGGACAACTGTTTACCAGCATCAGTTTCAACAATCCAATTGCACAGGAATCTATAGGCGCTGCATCCAGTGACTTGACTGGTATGTCTTCATATGGAATAAAATGAATACTTTTTTTCATTCTCTGGCAACTTAAAGTATGACTCAATTGAACTGATATGTTATGACTATGTCAACATGTAGTTTAATACACAGCATTCTACTGAGACGTTTATTGGCTGTAGTTGTCATGTGACTTACTGATAAGTATATTCAATGCTTTAATAAATTGCACTCAACCCTCTGTGTACCAACAAATAAATGTGCAAGTCTAACATTTTGCACTAATATTGTGTGTCAGTCCAAATTCAAGTTTAGAATTAGTCTATAAATAACTTTTGAATAATATAGAAACACAAACACACATTGTTGTTTACAACAGCTATATTGATGCTTAAAAGGCAAGATAATTACTTAAATAATAACATTTAAACTGAATGACATGCAACAATGAATACATAACAAACAAACACATCTGGTATGCACATACAAAATACCCAGAAAATAACTTACAAGATGAGCAAACCCAGGAGCCTTAATCTTGCACCTGTACGGACGACTTGTACCATCAGATACTAGGTAGACACCAAACTCCCCCTAAAATATACATCATAAAGCTTTAATCACAAATAATAACAGAAACATTATGAATAAAAGATAATCAAATACTTTTTAGTATTTCTTTGGATAATTATTTACAACAAGTTTGAAACCGACATTTTCTACTAAAATCTTATCTGAGATGGAACAAACTGTAGACATTCAAAAGTAAAAATTAAACCTGCTCTATCACAACTGAAGTTTGAGTATCCTTGCTGACAATAATAGCATTTAAAAAATAGATATTGGTGTACAGTTATTCATAACTTCAAAGGTTCAAGTAACTGTGGGGTTATTGTATCAAATGAAAATAAACACTAATGAGATTTAAAATCAAATATAAGTGGAATAAATGCTAACTCATAATAAAGCTTTAAATGGAAGTTAAATGCTTGAAGTAGTATTTAGTAACTCAAGTTGCTTTTACTTAATTTAGTTAGACAAGTTTAGTTCAGTTGTAAACCTAGTTATTCAAATGAATGTAGAAACTCACTTTAGGAGCCTCCACTGCTGTATAAGTTGCACCTGGAGGAACTTGGTATCCTTCAGTAAACAGTTTAAAGTGGTGGATTAATGCTTCCATGGAAGACTAGATAAAAAAAAACCTTGTTAGCATTCCAAGGGCATTCCTGTTCAACACTAATATTATGTTTTAAGAAAGTTTAAGGTGGTCTTTCCAATGGACTTTTTTTTAAATCAATTTATTAAATGAAATCCAATACAATTTACCATAACAAATGATAAAAAACTAAATAAATAAATACAGAAAAAATATTATTTTTGTAAAGTTAAAATCAAGTACTTAGTTTTTAATCCTATGTGCTGGGGTTGGAGTCAAAGTATGCACATCATGACCTTTTAAAAGTTACATTCAAAATTTAATTAAACAACTTTATTATCAATCTGTGTTAATAAACTTGGCATCAAACACAGTTTATAATGCAAATCTTGATACAAGTGTTTTTTTCTTAATTTTAAATAGAAAGTTTTCTTTATACAGAAATAAGAGGATGTGTGCTGGATGAGTTCATGGGGGTGTGACACTGTTGGTTTACCGGCATGCACCTATGTCTGTGCTCTCACTACACAACTATAGGTTGCTGGCATTCCATGTCTCCATGGGTCATAACTTCATAGTGTGTTGTCTTTACCTGGCACCAGGAGAGGATTATGATCAAATGGACCTTGAATATCTTGTTGAACAGTTGAAGTTAGAAGAGGCTAACTGGCTTTTCTTCACAACTCTGTCAGAACTTGATCCTGCTGTCATTAGTCTTCCCACTAGTAACTGATTGTATTGTCCAAGCATCTGGTCATATGATTCCCCAAACCTCAACATGTTTCCCACAGTATTTTCATCCTTACTGCCAGCAAGTGTGGAAGGCTCAGAAACAGGCCTGGAATATTTTTCACAAATATCCTACTGTTACCAACCAAATTGGTTTTCAACATGCTTGGCAGATCAGATGTAAAAGCCAGAAACAATCTTGGATTAGGTTAATTACCAGCACCTCTCTTACCACCAGTTCCAAGGTTGCCTGGGACAGGATTAGGAGAGTCAGTGGAAAGTATACCTCCCATCCCTTTTTGATCTTGCTCTCACAAGGCCAGGAAGTTGCTGATGTTTAAGGTATTGCTGACACCCTTAGAGTGCTTTTCACACTTTTCCAGCACTTAAATCTCTTCCTCTGCCTTCTTGGCCATCAAGTCACAGGCTGAGAGATCCCCAATTTCTTTCCATCCTGATAGTCTCTACAACTATAATCAACCATTAAGTTGGTGGAACTTCAAATTGCTCTGCATCAGTCTGGTAGTACCTCAGTTGGATCTGATGATATTCATTACAAGATGCTGAGTCATTTCTCTTCTGCCTCTCTTGCTCTTCTTCTGGTTGTTTTTAACCAAATTTGGTAGGTGGTGGTTTTTCCTGATGCTTAGTGCAAAGCTATTGTCATCCCTTTTTCAAAACCTTCTAATTATTGTCCTATTGCTTTGACTAGGTGTCTCTGTAAGGTTTTAGAAGGGATGGATCCTTAAATTAAACAATCTCCTCTCACCCACCCAATGTGGTTTTTGTAGACAGTGCTCCATCATGGACCACCTGGTTTTTCTTGAAACCTTGATCAGAGCATCTTGTGTCAATCTTCTTTGATCTTGGGAAGGATTATGACAATATGTGCAGGTTTAGCATTTTAGGGGACCTTCATTCCTATGAGTTATGTGGCCATTTACCCATTTTTATTCATAACTTTTTACTGGACAGATGTTTCCAAGTCTGTGTGGATTTGACATTGTCCCAATCCTTCAAACATGAACTCAGAGTCCCTCAGGGCTATTTTGAGTGTCACAATTTTACTGAATTAAGATCAATTCTATTACTGATCAACTTCCTCCTGCTGTTGCAAACAGCATCTATGTTGACAACTTCCACATTTCCTGTTGGTCATTGAATACAAGGTTTATCGAGTGGCAGCTTCAGACTGCTCTCACTCGCTCTAAAACTGTTTGCATGATGGTTTTCTTCCCATGGTGGCTGAGACAAAGTTCTTAAAGCTTCTTATTGACTGTAAGCTAACACTTATTGCTCATATTAAGCAGCTTTGTGTTGAGTGTACAAGGGCACTGAACACCCTCCATGTCCTCTCTTCCACTTTTTGGAGAGCAGATGGATATTCCATACTGAAGATCTATCGTGCTCTCATTTGATCAAAGCTGGATTACAGATCTGTGGTCTATGGCTCAGGTCTAGGGACTCTGCCTTGAAGGTATTGGAATCTGAACATTATCTGGGGCTTTCCACGCTTCACTGGTCCAGTCTGTACACTGGGTTTTTTAAGCCTACTCTTCACCTCCAACATTTGAAACTTTCCTTGCTCTATGCTACAAAACTATGATCCTTATTACGACATCCCACCTGTAGTTGAGTCTTCTTTGATGGAATGTCATTTTTGGGAATAGGTGGTCTGCCATTCCTACATTTGGCCTTTGTATCCAGGAATGGTTGACTGAAGTGGATCTGACATCTTTGGGCAATGTTCCAGAGTCCAAATGATCAGCCCATCCTGCAATGGCTCATTACCATCCCCATTTGTGACCTTTCTTTAAAAGGAGATTGGAAGTTATCTAACCTAAATGACAGGAGGCAAAGCTAAACCCAAGTAAAAAACAGATCAGAACAAGATACGGTGAACATGTTTGGTAAAGTGGGTGCAAACTTCTTGGGAGGCACACCCCAGACAACTGTGGATGTTGAACTCCAATTAGCTGGAAAGAGTCTTGGCGTAGAATGTTAGGTTGAGGATGCCTCAACAAAGATAAATAAAGAGAAAGATGCAGAGGTGGACTCACGCGAAGAAACTGTAGAAATGGAAATCACAACTGGGCCAGCTAATCTAGTCTAGCAACATCTTGTGAGTAGAAGATCAAAATATAGCCAGAACTAAGTAACAGAGGAAGTGAGGGAAAGTCATAGATGCACAATCTCATCCAAGCAGAACCACTTGCATCTACCATCCAAGCCTGAGAATGAGGTAGAGAGACACACCAAAGATTGTAGTTGAGTAGGAATAAGTGGAAAAAGCTATTGGAAAACTACACAACAGAGAATCCATTTGTTCGGG